TAGAGCCCTGAGATTTTTCAGGGAACTTTTGAAAATGTTTGAGACATGAAAACGTTCTATTGACTTTAAATACCAAAAGCAAACTGCCAATCCAACATGAATAAACCAGTTCAGTAGCTTCATCATGTGATACAGTCTATAATGCTTTCTGCATATTTCTGGAATCCACAGAGCTCTGGAAACAGAAAAAAATTTTCATTAACTGATTTGGTGGCACAATGTTACCCAAAGGGAAGTGAGGCTATTTGCAGTCTTTATCCTATTAGTATAAATATTTATATGTGTTTGCTGCAGAAATATTACTGTGTTTGATTAAAGTATGTTTCTCAGACTCTGCCAGGAATGTTAAGTAATGTCCATGTATGTGTGACCTTTTAAAAAATATTAAAAATATTTTTGTTAGGTAAATCAATGGAAAATAGTCTTGGTAGGGGTTATCAAAGAGTTTAAACTCTAGTCATCAGATAAGATAAGGAGGAGTGTGATCAAAGCTAGAAGAGTAAAATAAATTGCTATTGAGTTCCCAAGCCAACTCTTNTCCCTGAGGCCATATTGTAATTACCAATTTGTATTGTCTCATTGATAAGTAAGCTTCATCATGAAAAAAATCAAATATCAACAGAAGTCAAGAATTGGTTTGTGTTGTCTGTGCTTGAAAAGACAATAAAGATTCATTTTACCAGTTATTAGAATTTATTTTTTTGGTTACTAAAGAAATGTGTTTTTTTTTTATAAAAGTGGCAAGCAATGCTGAAGTTACAAAGTCAAGAGTGAGAATTCCTCTTTAAATTTTCATTTCGCCATGCAGTGTCAGCATTACCTGGGAGCTTGTTAGAAATTTGATCCTTTAGCCCCACCTGGTCCTACTGAGTCAGAATTTCTGGGGCTAGGAACCAGCAATCTGTTTTAACAAGCCCTCCAGGTGATTCTCAGGCATACTAAAGCTTCAGAAGCCCTGATCTATATAAGACACACCTCATTTTATTGCTCTTCACTTTATGCATATTATGCTTCACAGATGTTGCTTTTTTTTTTTTTTTACAAATTGAAAGCAAGACCCTCCACTAGCATTGCAGTGGTCTGGAACTGAACTCGCAATCTCTCTGAGGTATGCCTGTTGTACTGCTTCCTAAATGGTGTGCTTCAATATAATGGTGTCGTCAGCCCTTGGCAGCCTGACTGGGGCCTGAGGAGGCTTAAGTCCCAGGCTGGTTGCCCCGAGTACAAACAACCTTATCATTCTAATCCAGTGTTGCATAATAATTTAGATATTTAGTGATGAATTAGATATGATTCTTGCATACAGATGTCATATTTTATTCTTATTTTCAGTCTTCTCTATACACTGAAATAGTCTTGAAGGGCAGGAATCTAGTTTGTTTTGTTGTCACAGTTTTTCTAATGCCTACAATGTATCACATAAAGTAGTCACTCAATAATTATCTGTTCGAGTGACAATAAATACCTGTTTCAGGATTTCAGAGAAAAGAAGATAGGTTCTCTGGCTGGGATAGTGAGAGAAGATTTTGTGGTGGCACCTGAATTGAACCTTGCAGGATGGGTTGAGTTTTGCTGGGAAAAGTTAAGAGGAGGGGCGTTTCTGGCAGAGGCACCACAGAACACAAGGAAGCAATAAAGCACATGCTGTTTTTGAAGAACAGCATGTAAGGATATTTAGAGGATGTGAGTCTCACGCAATTGACCCAGACATAACATGCCATTATCTCCTCCAAGACCTCCAAGACTTCCTGTGATTGACAGATACTTGGTCAGAAAGGAGACTCTCAGTTTCCACCCTTCAACAGTCATTGTCATGACCCAAAGGCTTAACTAGGAGACACCTGGCTCTCTGCCATTCATGCTGCTCAGGTCGTCTGTGCTGTCTCCATTTTTCTACTGAGCTAACAACTTGACCATCCAGAGAACCCAATGAAGCCACACACATTCCCCTTGGGTCTAGCAACTCCGTCACATTTTCACCAAGGCTCTGAAACAAAATCTGTACAGAGAAGCCAAAAGTGCTGTTTCCATATACTCCAGTGCTTCGTGGGCTGGTGTTACACCCAAGCTTCTGAATTCAACAGAATCCAGTGAAGTAATGAGAACAGGAAAGATCAAAACATAGGCCAGAACCCTGAGCATCTATCTGTGTTTGCCTCTTTCACCTCTCCAAACCCCATTGAAATGACAGAATAAATATGAAAACACACATAAATTCCTAGTAGCTGTGGGGGATCAGAAAAGATGACATCAGCCAACCATAAGGTGAGAAATTACTGTTATATATAAAGGACATGTATCGGCTTGATGGCAAAACACAAGGAGGCTGAAAAAACTTATATTCTCATATAAGTTAAAGGAGAAGATTATTGAAAAATCATTTTCTCAGCAGGACCCTAGGTAACACAAAGATCAGCGTCAGTGGGTGTTAGGAGAAGATTAGGCCGAGAGAAGACGCTACGACCTTGCCAGTCCCCATTTCAGGACAGCCAGGGGCAGGCTTGGCCCCAGGATAAATTATAAGCACAGTTCTCTCCATAAAGAAGGATATCTGCTGTGGGAGCCCTCCACAGGGACCAATGGGCCAGAGAGAGAATCGGGCATAATTTCTCATCAAAGACAAGAAGGTCCACCTCTCTCCACACCTTAAAGATGAAGCTCTCTGACAACCTCAGTTTTGGAAGCCTGATCAGTCCCACTCCTTCTTTCTTGTCACCTACCAGACCCAGGGCCCCTATAATCAGCTTCTGCATTTACAAGGAACTAGGGGTTTCTACTTATGCTGTGAAAAAAAGAAGGCATCCATGAAGGAGTGAAACATGCTAAAATGCTCTTCCCCTTCACCTGTCCATCGCCAGCTAGCCCGCCTACCTGTTTACCCACACCTCCAAAAATAGTGTCTCTAAGTGAGGTCCTAGGACCACCTGCATAGAAATCACTGGTTAACTCATAACCAGTGATTTAACTCATAACCAGTGATTTAAATTATGTACACCTGTGCTTTAACCCTTATTTCCCAACCATCTCGGCCCATCCCTCTACTCCCAAATGATGACTAAAAGAAACTTGGCTAAGCTGTAGTCAAACCTTCAAAGATTAGCTATTTTAGTAGGAAGGATGGGTTACCCTGTGAATTTGTGTTTAATCTTTTTGGCATTATAGTAATTTCCAGCTTGAACCTTTGTCTCAGGATTTTTTCCTAGTAGTAATTTATTATTATGAAGGATATTTGGTTATCGATAAGTTTTCTTTTCCTATTGCTTTCTTATGACGCATCACCCAAAAAGTAAGCATAGGTTTTAAACTTGTTTTTGGATAAAAGTTTTGCTGTTGTTTAGAATTAGGAGACAGTTGACCAAGGTTTACTAATTATAAATGTAAGTGTATAGGCTTTAATAGATATGAATATAAAATTATATTAACTCCAACTTTAAATGTTTTTCTTGAGGTTCTTGAACTTTAAAGAAGACATCTTTTAGGAAGTTATATCTATTAAGGAAAAACATCCAAAACAGAAATTAGGCAACAGAATGACTGAATGCCTTTCAATGTCACATTGGAACATTGTTCGAAAGGCCCACCACAGGATATTTTTTTAAATTAGTTTCAGGTATACAAAGCAATATAATAGACATTTATACCCCTCACAAAGTGATAACCCCCCCCCAATCTATTACCCCTCTGACAGTGTATATAGCTGTTACTATACCATTGACTATCATCCCGTGACT